CAAGATGGCTACAGAAACTTTCTCACGCAATAGATTACATGTTGTAATTACGGATTTTATTATTTCTCTCACCCAGCATCGTTTTCTTTTTGACTTATTTTTCTTTCTCAATAAATAAACAAATGTGTGGTTAACGATGGAATATTGGAAGTGGCCATTTTGTTTTTTGAGATGATGTTTTCACTTGCTTGCAAATGATTGGCTGCTTAAAATTCGCAATTGCTTTTGGTTGAAGGGTCAATTTTGCTAAGTGAATAAAAATCGCTTTTGCTATTCGTTCAGTGTGAACTAAGCTTTAATTAATGTTACCAATAGGTATACACTAGGATTCCTTTTTCCAAAGCTGCTTTCCAAAAAGTCCAGTTGTGGTTCCAGCAACAAACTAATAAATTTTTATGGTTTTTTTATTGAAGAGTATCATTTTTTGCAGCAGATTATTAGCTACAAGACACTTATAGAGTTAAATTGTATAAAATATTTTGTAATACTATATTTTTCAATCATAGGTTTTTTCCCATTGAATTAATATTTTGCAAAAACATATCATTGTATTATGCATGATATTTTATTGCTTTTTATAATAAACATTTTAGGTGGTGGAGCAATCGAAATGGAATTATCCAAGTACTTGAGAGATTATTCTCGTACAGTAGCCGGAAAACAACAACTTTTAATAGGAGCAATGGCAAAGGCTTTAGAAGTTATTCCAAGACAGTTGTGTGATAATGCTGGATTTGATGCTACTAATATCTTAAATAAATTAAGACAGAAGCATGCCACAGGTTTGTATGAAGTTTTAATTATTCAGATGTGTAACTCTGTGATAATTTCAAGTGTCATTTCAAATTATTATTATTATTATTACATATATATATATGAAATTATTTGAAAAATAATTTTTCAATTGTTTATCAGTTATTTAGTTTAAATGCTAAATTTTAAAATTTTACAAATAATGCATTGACACATCTATACTTGTTCATGCTGTCAACAAAAAAATGTTGAAATTATATAGTAAGATGAAAGCGATATGATTGCTGTTATATCATGTTGTCTTACTACTACCAAGTAACCAAGTATGGTTATATCTAAATTAATAGTTCTGGAAGTGAAGATTGTTCAAAAGTCTGGGTAGCATAACTGGAAACATGACCACAGAAGTTGCGGGTTCTAGTCTCACTTCAGGCCAATTCTTATTTCCAGCACTTTTATAATCATAATTCCAAATTAATTTTCAAAATATTAAATTTAGCAAGAGATGGTGTCTAGTGCTTACCTCTAGTGCCAAATTAAATGCTAAGCTAGCTCAATACAGTCCAACAGTCATTTGGCTTTAAAAAATAACTATCAGGTTTTAGATGTTAATGTTTGTATATATAATAAGATTGCATTATTTATGTTTTTCTTTGTACTTATAGATATTAAGAGAAAGCATAGTCAGCACAACTAAAGTTGATCCTTGGGTTGTTTCATTTTTGTCTTTAAGGGGTGAAAGCATGGTTTATGACTATACAAATACTCCCTTTGTTTTGTCTTGAAAAGGGGTCAAGTGTTCAAGTGTGTGCTGTTAATTTAGTTAATTACATCAGCATTATTACCTTCTATTCAATATTATATTAAAAATTTAGATTACAAATTAATTGAAAGAAGACATATTGTCTTATCAATTTCCCCTAACACACTAAGATGAACCAACTCAACAGTCAAGCCTGGTTGTGCTGACTAACTACATTATATTCTATTCATGTATAGTTACTTTATATACATCCACATAAATACACAGTGAGTTGAGTGAATACTGAGTTTTAGGACTGATTTAATATAAAAAGCATACATGAAGGAGAAATAACTAATTTATTTCTCCTTCGAGATAGTATCTTAAAAAAGGAGGGATGTGAGATTTTGTAAAATGTTGGTACGTGCAGTACTTGGCACAGTCATACAGTTTTGTATTCCACTGTAAAACATAACTGGAATAGACTAGTTCTCATTACATTCATTCTGGTATCAGAAATTATTTTAACTTGTCTTTTTAGTGGATTGAAAGTAATCTTCAGGAGCCAAGTCTGACAAATGAGAGTGATTGAATGTCATAACTTGATTTTTAGCAAGAAACTGGTTGAAATATGTTGCATTATGGAAGGGGGTGTTGTCTAACATATCAAATTTTTTGGAGAAGTTCTTGTAAAATGTTGGTCACTTGTCCAGCTGGTACAAATGCCTTGTACTGCTTGCTGCCAGTCAAAGAAAATTACTATCATGGTTTTCACATCAGACTTCTGCAATTAAACTTTCTTTGGCAAATTTTCATGTCAATAAGATTGGCATTTATGACTGGACCATGGGCAAAATACTAAGTTTTGTCACTGTTTTAATCAAATCTTGGCACGCAGCAATTGCTGCTCTTTTCTCTTAAGTCTGTATGCGTGCATGTGGAATAAATCTCCAAAGAGCTCCTTCTCTTCAAATTTTCCATTAAAATCTTCACATTGTGTCCTTGCTGATATCTGCTTCTGCTATGATTCTCAGGTGACAATTTGCAATTACCAGTTTTTGAATCATATTGATGATGATATTTCAACACTCACTTGGGCAACCAGTCCAAGGGTTATCTTCAACATCATCTCTGTTGCAACACTGCATACCATTAGAAAATGTAGATTATGATAGTGCAGGCAGCAATCATTAGTTCCAACTGTTGGTGTTGCAGTTTTATAGCAGAACTTTTATGTATGGAATAGCAAGTGGCAATAATCCATAATGGGAGCTCTTCACTCAGTTACATTCAACTGCCCATGTAAAGAGTCAAGACATGCATGTAGCAAAATCCATTGGTGGCAGATAATGATGCAGCCAATGATCTCTATGAAAAATCTGTCCTAAAGCTTAGTAGATGCATTCTATATTGTAAAAAAATTCAATGAATGAAATAAAAATGTTTGTATTTATTCCATATATGGAATAAATGCTCATTCAGAGAAGGTACAAATGCTTCTCTGAATGATGCAGTTAGGATTTTATCAGAGCTGCAAATGATGTCTAAAGGAGTAAAAAAGTCAAAGGCAGATTTTGAGTATTATATCTCACAAAGGGTTATATGTAGACCATCAGTTCCTGTCTGGAATTATGAAGACAGTAAAAAATTGGGGTAAAATTTAAAAGTGAGAACATCTGGAACTTTTTCCCAAAACAATGCTAAAAATCATCTGTTTTAGGAGCTTTTAGTCAGCTCTAGCAAAGTGGAAAATATGATTATAAGTAAATAATCTAGATTCACCATTGCACTGACTACTTCCAGGAGTCATGCTGCATATGCTGTTAAAGCCTATCATGTGTTTAGCAGCCTGGTCAAGATGTTCTAATGATATTTCTTGCCAAGGGTCATTTAGAGATGGAGTTCCTTTGATTTTGGTCCTGGCGTTTAAAATTTGAGAGGGGATTTGGAACCCTTCATTTAGAACTGGAATTTTATCACTTGTATACAATTAAATATAATAAATTTCTATTAGTCCACAGTTAGTCAACTGAATATTTTTTATGTAAATATTTGGTGTTACAACTGTGGTAAAGCAAATTGTTCTAGATAGGTGAATTATGGTTTATCCGTATTTTCATAGAAGAATTGTTCAGACATCTACAAAGTATTTTGTTATCGGAACAGTATGATTAAAAGATATTTAAATTTATAAACATTAACTATTTTTTCTTAATTTAGGTGGTCAGTGGTATGGTGTAGATATTTTTAATGAAGACATAGCAGACAATTACGAATCTTGTGTTTGGGAGCCTGCCATTGTTAAAATCAATGCTCTGATAGCTGCTACAGAAGCTGCTTGTCTTATTTTATCCGTTGATGAAACTATTAAAAATCCAAAGTCGGGTGCAGAAGAAACAAATGCCGCCAAAGCACTGACCGGAAGAGGAAGAGGAAGACCTCACTAAAATTCCATTCTAAGATTATTTAATTGAAAGACTCATTAAGTTCCATTTTCTTTAATAATACAACAGCTTGTTTGGAAGAACAGGAATAATAACGTTAATGTTCATTTTACAAGATCCGCCACTATTCATTTTGAGTATTTTTCATTGTTTAATTTTATAATAAATACTTTGTTTCTCCATTAAGTTATTAACTAACTATCTAAGAGATTTGAGAAATTCCATTGAGTATATACAGTAAAATGTNTTTTATTTTGTACAAACAAAATAAATATATTGAAAAATATAAAAATAATAAAAACTTATACTTCAGATGTTAATTTAGTATCAAAAACGTAAAATATTTGAGTAGCCCAAGACATAGCCAAAGATTGAAGCGCCACAGCACTGACGAAAATTTAAATTTGCCGACTGAAATTCTTTCGGATGATTGACTTTCGGAAAATCGACGCTCTACTGTATTTTACTTAAAGAATGCAGAAACTGTAATAAGTCGTTGTGTAAAGTCAAACTGAAAAGGTCGTATTCATTATAAAAATAATCTTGTATAATTATGTATATTTTAAATTAATATTTGTCAGAAGTTAATATTAAATCCAGAAACATTTATATTAACTCTTCGTTTCTTATTGAGTGTCTTGTTCTTTACAAGGATTAGATCTTTGCCATTTTGTCTGTGACAATACATCTATCAAAACAAATACGGGTCATCAAATTCAGATAAAACAGTTTTCTTGTGCATGGATGAACTTTTCTTTTTACAATTTATTGTTTTAGCTAAAATTGATAATCGTCATCTAAATATATGAAATTGCTTGTCCTGACTGACTGACTGAATGACTCATTCACTCACTGATTCATCATCACCCGGAGCATACCGCTTAACCTAGAGAGGTGAAATTTGGTACACAGTTAGGCTACATCATGGAAATGCACACTAAGAAGGGATTTTTTGAAATTTTCCCGCAGGGGGAAGAGGTAGAGCATTAAGGCTTAACCGGAAAAACGGCTTCTACTGTACTATTTTAGATACGATTTTTTGTTTTCAACTACGTTTAGTCTTCATTGAGTACTTAGGTGTATTAAATTGATAACATTTCAGACATTGTTATAAATATATTTATCTGTTTCGATTTTTAAAATGTTCAATCCGTTTTAAATTCAAATTTGTTATTGCATATTGGTTCGATTATAGAACGATTGTAAACATCCCAGAAAATTGATCAAATTAAGATAGTTCGTTGATTCTCGGCTGTTCTCTTCAGCGGTAGGTGTTATATGACAATTACTATGGTAATTGAAATAGAAATATTGAATGTAAATGGGGTTTGCTTGCAAAACCTCCGCGGACGAAGTTGCAGGTAACAGCTAGTTAACAAGTATTGGAGCTTCTGGGTTGGGACACATTTTGAAAGGCTGTAAGTAAAATGAGATGATAACTACAAATTGCATACTTTATCTTATAGAACAAGGTAACCTTTTTTTTATGGGCCAGAATAAATTTTACATTTTTTCTGCGGGCCATAGTAGTTAATTGACACCTTGTGACCTGTGAATTTTTAGTCTGCAAATATGAAATAAATAAATAAATAAAAAGAAATTAATTACTACAGTTGACCTCCCTATAACACTGTTGATTATTCCGTTTTATATGAATTCCATGTTGTATGAGTCACTTAGATTTTACAAATGTGTGTGCCGTGCTGTGAATGTCTTACCTATTTGTAAAATCTAAGTGACTTTAAACACAATAAAAACAGCACTATGTAGTTGGATACGAAAGACATTACATTTTCTAATTGCATAGCTTTTGCACATAGATTTTCTTGATGGTTGATGCGATGAGATATAAATAATTTAGAAAAATTCTGTTCTCCCATTTTTTGTTTGAATAAGGAAATGACTCCCTTATTTTTTCCTGTCATTGCTGCC